AGAGAGAGAGAGAGATTTTAAGCCTTAATTCGCGAATTCATTAGTGAATAGATATTTCTAAACATAAGTCTTAAACACAATTCATTGAAACAATTGATTAAATTCAGAGAAAATCGGCACAAAATGTTTTCATAAAAATCTAATTTAAAATAAATATAAAACGAAATAATAGCTCATTAAAAAAATCGTTGTATACATTATATACAAATTGTTTTGTACTTTTATTGACAATAAAATATTGTAACGCAAATTCATTTGGGACTTAATTATAATAGTTTTTAATTTGCAAATTATTTTGGTAAAATATATAAAGTGTATGTATTTGAAAGGCACTCATAATTAAATAATATTTAAATAATGTGACAAAAAATATTTGTATAATGGACATATTACTTTTATAATTATTAATTATAAAATTTACCTTAATGATAGGGACATAACGGTAATGAATATGAAAACAAAGAGTAAGATTTTATTAACATAATTTATACTCAAAAGTTGATACCAACTAACAAAATATGTATCAGAGTATTGGTAAATTACCGTGAATTCACATAAAAAAGTATACCTAAACGAGTTAATTAAAACTTTTTTGCGGCATACTAAATATAATTGATAAATAATTTTAAGCATAATCAGAATAAATATTTATTATAATGGAATTTATTAATAATTTAAAAATCTATATTTAATGATATTTATAAAATGCATACTAAATGGTTGCTGTTAAATTCTTTGTTTAAATCACCTGTCAATAAATGGATATTGACCATAATCATTTAATACAATACTTACATACATAGCCTGGTCCTGAGCAGTCACTTGTCTGATATGCAGAGAGTGTTCATTGAATAGTTTGATGCGATTATTATAGGCAATGGGTTTGCCGTTGCGTTTCCACACCACGTATACCACGGGTGCGCCCAAAACACTGCAGTTAAGCTCTACCGTATCGCCCACTCCTATCAGCATATGTCCCGGACTTACTGTCACTATTAACGGGGCTGTCCCGTGACCGAGGGGTTTGGGTAAAAAATAATATATAATTATTATTTTGAAGTAAATTTATATTGTTTGTAATTTTAATATGATTATTTTTGTAAATTTATATTTTTTTAAGTGTTTGTAATTTATTTTGAATTAATTAAAAAGTATTTGGTCGTATCTGCCATAAATTTTAAATTACATTTTGCTTTATTATATAAATAATTAATATTTATAAATTTACAGCTTTTAAGTTTGTCGTAAAAATGGCATTTATGCATTAAACGCTCATTTTTAATATCAATATTTTAATTATATTAGAGTTATTTTTAATTAAATTTTTATATCCTGTCAATTAAATGATAAATTGGTGGCAAAAAATCATAACTCAATTTAAAAATCGTTGAAAAACGCGAATTTTGACAGAATGTACAAAACGTATGGCAAATATTATGTCACAAGAATTTTTGAGATGAAATCTATATTTAAAAATAGTTTGTGGCATTCATTACAAGTGCTGTTAAATGCCTAAAGAAGTGTCTGTTAGAGTATGAGAGAGAGAGAGAGAGAGAGAGAGAAATCGTGGATAATTAAGATTTAAGGCATTACATAATACAAACATCAGACTCGCTCTCTCTCTCTCTCTCTCTCTCTCTCTGAATGCAAAATCCATTTGTATTTTTTCGCTACCATTTGATTAATGCATCAAATATTTTATTGCTTGAGATTTTCAAATTAAATTCCGTATTAAAAGCGCTTTTGGAGTTTAATTAAAATTTTTAAATTTAATCTCTTTCAGTCTCTCTCTCTCTCTCTCTCTCTCTCTCTCTCTCTAATGTAATAAAAATAATAGAAATTTTAACACAATTGTTATAGCAATAAGTTTTTAACTTATGCACAAAATAATACACACACAAAATTATTATAAAAATTACATAAATAGACATTTTATTTATAAGTTTTCATTAAATTGACCTGTATCGACAATAATTTAAGCCCATTAATTTGGAAGTTGCCAATGTAACTTATATTCATGTGTGTAATTTACAAAATTAAAACTTTTATTTAATTAAAACTGTAATAATAAATAATATATTATTAATGATTTTTTGTGCCTAGTCACCAGTAACAATTAATGGTATTAACACAGATGATCTATGTTAAGCATAATATTTAATTTTATTAATTTTAATTGCGATCAAAAAATTTTATTTATCAATTTAATTTTTGTAATACATAAGAAAATTTGATAATTACTTATTCTTGCTCAAAATTTTTTGATTATTATTACGTGTTAGATAGAAAATAATGGGAAACTGATTACTCACAAACTGTAATTTTAAATATTATAACCAGATACATTAAATATACAATTTAAAAATAATTGTATATGGCAGATAAAACGCAGAGGATCAAGTCTATTTTTTTTAAAAATAAATTATATATTTGTTTAGATTGGCATATATTTATGAGAGTTAGCCCGTTATTGAATAAACTGTAATTATAAATACTTTACGATAATTTATTAGTTGAGTTTTATATATATTTATTAACTGGTACAATCTATTATAACTTTTTTTTAATAATTATAATATTTTATTAAAATATTAATGAATTTTTCCGAACGCATAGCAATGTATCGCAAGCAACGAATGGGAAAGCAGTACCGCATCGGCCGAAGTGAGCCTCGTATGGGACGGCCCGCACTTCACCCACACCTTCCCACCACTGGAACCGCTCAGCCCGGGTCAGTCCCTATCGCTCAAGTGCTCGGCCACTGGTCTACCCCTACCGCAGATTGTGTGGACAGTCGACGGACAGCCGGTGTCCGACAACTGGCGCCTCCGTATAGGGGACTACGTGTCCAGCGATGGTATAGTCAACTCATACGTCAACATCTCTAACGTCCGGGTAGAGGACGGCGGATTGTGAGTGTAGAGGCGTTTACGGCCCGCCAAATGTGTGGCACACTCTGTATATTAACAATTGATATATTATTTTAATACAGGTATAAGTGTCTGGCGCTGAACGGCATGAACACAGCCGTACACCACAACCATGTGGTAGTGTTGGGCCCGGTATTCGTGCGGCCCTTTGCCCACAACATTACCGCAGTGGCCGGTCATGCGGTACGGGTCGACTGTCCGGCCAACGGCCACCCAATACAGTCCATTCAGTGGTTTAGCGGCGGCTCCGGTAGTAACCAATGGACAAAACTACCCCAAAATCACCGGCAAAGAGCCCTAACTAACGGCACGTTAATCATCGAGTCTATAGAGAGCCGTACGGACGAGCGCTGGTATAGGTGTGTAGTGAACGGGTCGTCAGGGGGTGCAGGGGGTGGGGCCGGTGTGGGGTCAACAGCTCACGGCAATGTCTACATAGAGGTATTGGTGGCCCCCGTAATCAACCCCTTTCACGCCTCCCCTAACCTCCGGGAAGGTATGCGACAGAT